AGCAACGGCATTTCCCAGCTGCGGGAGGAACCCAGGCCAGGGCATCGCCACAACCCAACATCTGCAACCCACCACAAAACGACCCAGGCTCCCCGTCACGTCACCGAGGGGGCCGGGCGGGCGCAGACCTCCACGATACCCCTTGTGAGCCCCCAGAGCACGACGACAGATGCAGAACGTGGCCTTGGTCCTGTCCTTTATCCCACCCAGAGCCCTGCGAGCTGCTCCTGTGGCATCTCGGCGCCGGAGGAGCCCCCCGACCTCACGCGGCGAGGACACTCCTGCCTGCCCGTGGTCACGGCGCGGCTCCGATAGGATTGGAGGGAGCAGCCCCACCAGCTCCGTCCTGCCGGGCTCTCCTCTTAAACGAGCACAAAGAGAAAGGCGGTTTCGACTCACACCTCGCTAATTGTTATTTGTGATACACCGGCAACATTTTAATTAATCTGAAGTCTTCAGCGTAACAGCCACCCAAGGTACAAAGATAAACTAGAATAAACAGGGCTTGATTAAATACATAATTAATGTTCCACTAAACCCGGCATATATGAATATTAATTAGCAGGAATAGTCTGCAGTTTGGCATCTCCTGTCATTATCAATTTATTCTTTACATTGCCAGTCCCAGCTTTGGAACAAATTAACAAACCTTTTGCTTGCTGGCAGAGCCCACTAAATACAAACTGAATGCAAGAGGCTGGGCTTTACATTCAATTATCTCACCCGCACATTAACCAGCTTCCAGCACATTTGCCTGAAACCAAAGAGAGATGCACTGCCAAGACCAAAACATGTTCATCCCTAAATGAGGTTCGAAGCAAATAAAAACCGTTTTCTGCTGGCAAGAACAAGAGGGAGCATCAGTCGGGGAGAACAAGGATGGACACAGTCATCGTGAGGGATTTAACCACTGGAGGGAGAGACTTGGTAGAGGTTGGACTCAGATATGAGGAGCAAGATCACCTCCAGCCCCCCCGAGGCACTTGGCCAGACCGGGGTGTCCAGCATGGGCAGGAGCATTCCCCCCCCCAGCTCCATCCTCCCGCTGCAACAACCTGAGCGTCACATCTGCCCCCCGCCCCGAGGGACAGGAAGTTTTATGAAGCTTTACAAAGACAAGGG